CCTCCGTACCTCTGCACTTTACTTCCGCACCTCCTCTGAGTCTCAGTGTGCTTTTCTCTTTCCTTCTAGTTGTAGAATTTCCACTCAACCAGCCTTCCTGTGGTTCTGGATGATGTCCGTTTTGTCTTTTAGTTGTATTTTTGAAGTGTTTGTGCAAGGCAGCAATTTCAGGTGTTTACCTATGCCGCCGTCTTGGTTTCTCTATCATGAGGTTTTAATGTTATGAAGGGAAAAGTCTGGTGTAAATAAGTAGCAAGAGGAACTTCGCTCTGAAGTGCGGAAAGTTGTTGATTCATTTCCATGGTAGTAGCTGCTAAGCAGTCATGGGCAGCTTAGAGTTTAAAAACAATGGCGAACTAGTCAAAGCACTACATACAGTTGTAAAGTATATTTATTTTAGTTCTTTGAGATAGGTTAAAAGAAATTTCTTAACCCCCATGCTGTGAATATTAATTTTTTCATGATTTATGTAGTTTGTTTATCGATGGACACTTTTACAACAGGATTTATGAAGCTGGGTCCGAGAACAACACAGCAGTTGTGGCAGTAGAAACTCACACGATACACAAAATTGAAGAAGGGATTGGTGAGTCTTTGTTATTCTAGTACATTTGACCTTAGTTTCCCTAGCTGAGATTTCTTGACTTGGTGCCTTTTTCACCCTACTCAGTGTGCCCTATCAATGCTGCAGCTACCAATTTGATGGTGGTACATCTAGAGCAGTGGTTCTCAACCTTCCTAATGCCGCAACCCTTTAATACAGTTCCTCATGTTGTGGTGATCCCCAACCATAAAATTATCTTCATTGCTACTGTAATTTTGCTACTGTTATGAATCGTAATGTAAATATCTGATATGCAGGATGTATTTTCTTTGTTACAAATTGAACATAATTAAAGCATAGTGATTAATCACAAAAACAATATGTAATTATATATGTGTTTTCCGATGGTGTTAGGCAGGAGTCCTCAAACTACGGCCCGCGGGCCACATGCAAATACAAATATTGTATTTGTTCCCGTTTTGTTTTTTTACTTCAAAATAAGATATGTGCAGTGTGCATAGGAATTTGTTCATAGTTTTTTTTTAAACTATAGTCCGGCCCTCCAACGGTCTGAGGGACAGTGAACTGGCCCCCTGTTTAAAAAGTTTGAGGACTGCTGTGAGGCCTTGGGCCTTCTTTTGGATGTTCTGGGTCTCTCTGACCCTGCTGCAGTTTGTTAGGTAATTTTAGATTGCAAAGGGCCAGGTCATTCATATGCAAAAGCCTCTGCGCACTGCTTGGGTGGGGTCGCGACCCACAGGTTGAGAACTCGCTGATCTAGAGACACCACTGACTAAGGTGTTAGGGCCTTCAGTTGATTGTTTAACATCATATTGCTAGAGTTGCTAAAAATATTTTTAAAAATTTTTTAATTGATTTCAGAGAGGAAGGAAGAGGGAGAGAGACAGAATATCAGTGATAAGAGAGAATCATTGATCGGTTGCCTCCTGCATATCCCCCACTGGGATCGAACCTGCAACCCAGGCATATGCCTCGACCAGAAACCAAACCGTGACCTGGGTCATAGGTTGAGGCTCAACCACTGATCCACAAGTCAAGCAAAAAGATTTTTCATCTATAAAAATCCCACAAGAAATTGGAGCCTCAAGGTTGATTCTTGTCAGTAGGGAAATTGCTGATGAAGACTGATAAGGTGTTCAGTGGAAGGCAGTCAGTGGAAAGAAATTTTGAAATTAGGGAAACCTAAGTTTGGAGCCTACTTTCTCATTTCTTAACTGTATCCTTGGGAAAGTCACTTTACCTTTTGGAGTCCCACATTACAGTTATGTAAAACAGAAAACAATCACTATCTCCGAGGGTTGTTGCAAGAACTAAGTAAGATTAAGCACATCAAAGCATATAGCACAGTGTTGCATAGTGGGAGTTCAGTAAGACAGCGGTTATGCCTAACTTTTTCCAGAGGATTTCTAAACAATACCAGCTAATGTAAACTGTTAACCCCTGAGAGGAACCAGGAGACTAAAGATTTTGAATTAAGCTTTGGGAAAGAGTGTTCAATAAATCACTGATATTTTTTCCATTTTCAGATGCAAGCACTATAGAAGCAAATGAAGATATGGAAATTGCTTACCCTATAACTTGTGGGGAGAGCAAAGCCATTCTTCTCTGGAAGAAGTTTGTATGTCCAGGAATAAATGTGAAATGTGTCAAGGTAATTGTCTTTTCTCCTGGCTGGAACCTATTTTGGGGCTCCTTGTTTTCAAAGGGCATGGTTTCAGTGCCTAATCTCTCTTTTCCACCATATCAGTATTTTTTAAAAATATATTTTTATTGATTTCAGAGAGGAAGGGAGAGGGAGAGAGAGAAACATCAATGATGAGAATCATTGATCGGCTGCCTCCTGCACACCCCCTAATGGGGATCAGATCCACAACCTGGGCATATGCCCCTGACCGGAATTGAACTCAGGACCCTTCAGTCCACAGGCCGATGCTTCATCCACTGAGCCAAACCTGCCAGGGCCATGCCAGTATTTTTAATTTTGTGGCTATAGTTCCATTGCATCATATAACTTGGGAGCGCCCTAACCGGTTTGGCTCAGTGGATAGAGCGTCGGCCTGCGGACTCAAGGGTCCCAGGTTCGATTCCGGTCAAGGGCATGTACCTTAGTTGCGGGCACATCCCCAGTAGGAGGTGTGCAGGAGGCAGCTGATGGATGTTTCTCTCTCATTGATGTTTCTCACTTTCTATCCCTCTCCCTTCCTCTCTGTAAAAAATCAATAAAATATATTAAAAAAAATAACTTGGGAGTAAAATTTTATTCTGATGGGACCTAGATTAAAGTTTGGCTCAGTGGATAGAGCATTGGCCTATGGCTTGAAGGGTCCTAGTTCCAGTCAAGGGCACATGCCTGGGTTGTGGCTTGATCCCCAGTAGGGGGCGTGCGGGAGGCAGCTGATTGATTCTGGATACATAAATGCTATTTACAGAGCCATGTAGGAACTTTTCCTTTCTTACACATTTTTGTTTTTCTTGAATTTAATAATTAGTTTTTCTTAGAACTTTTTTTTTTTTTTTTTTTTGTGAACTTGTCTATCTTGTTCATCAGTGTATCCCCAGCACTTAGGAATGGTAGTTGGTGTATTTATCAATAAATATTTGTTGAATGAATGAATGGAGTTCCATCTCTATCAATGCCTTACCCTGGTGTGCATTATGGTAGAGTTTATTGAAAATTATTACTGAATAAAAATACATAATCATGAGAGCACAGCGTCGAAATTATTGCTTATTTTGTCCCCATTGATAGCCACAACTATACACATAGATAGTTGTCACCATCAGTGGCACGATCCTAGATTCATTAAAGATTACATAGTTTTGTGTTTTTTTAAAATATATTTTTGTTTATTTCAGAGAGGAAGGGAGAGGGAGAAAGAGATAGAAACATCATTGATGAGAGAGAATCATTTATCGGCTGCCTCCTGCATACCCCACACTGAGGATCGAGCTTGCAACCCCGGCATGTGCCCCAACCGAGAATCAAATCGTGACCTCCTGGTTCATAGATCGACACTCAACCATTGAGCCATGCCTGCCAGGCAAGATTACATAGTTTTGATACTCTGCAGTGCTATTGGTTCCTATTGTACTTATTCTTTCTGCCACATCCTGAATCACGTCATTAGGGCTAGATAGATCACTTCGGTTTATTTAAACAGCCTTTGTGACATTGGATCTAACTACTGATTCATGGCATAAATGAATTTTGTTTTGTTTTGTTAATCTTTACTGAGGGTTTTTTTTCCCCATTGCTTTTTCCAGGGAGAG